ACAGGTCCATTTACCATCCATTACCATTTACTGCATTCTACTGACAGGTGTTTCTATTATTTTGTCTACCCCATGTATATCAATATACATATCAATCAATCAATAAGCAAAATAACAGAAATAACGCTCTAAGCTGAACATTTATGAAAGTAAGATTCATTACATCTGTTCAGTTGGTACAATGGCAGTTTGGGGCAAATAACCACAAACTATCCAGAATTGTAAAATTCGTACGGAGCCCCTAAAGTACCGTACGGTAATATCTTTTATCTTTTGCACATTAGCTATATTGTGCAAATATGGAATATTTAGTATTGTGCTTTCTTGTAGTTGACAATACCAGCATTGGCCCCCGAGGCAATTTGAGTCTGAAACCCCTGGTCTAAACACACCATAAAAAACATATATACGAACATGGGCCATGTAGCTACTACTAAATAGCATGTGCAAAGTGTCTATAGACTTTCAGTTAATCGATACAGACTACTACACCTTCTGCTATAAAGTTCAATTCAATTGGAACTACTTTCTAACAAATAAACATTCCTAATGAAATTTGTTGACTGCATGGAGAGACAATAATTCTGGAGATTATTTTATAACTTTTCAAAGCTGTGAGCTGCACAAACAAAATTCCATTCACTTCCATTGTAATGGGGTGGAGGCAGCAATCCCACTGATGTATATCTGGACATATAAAATCAGAACTATTTGCATCGTAATTAGAAAAATATGTATTCTCATAATGTGTGGGACCCTTTAAAATGGGTTCTTTGAGAAAATAACACTGTTTACTTTAGCCCTTACTTGAAATGAAATACTACTACAAACACGTTCTCACTGTGTGGTGTAACAGACTGGAAGGCTCCCTGTGACACAACAGAAAACAATTAGCTAAAGTATTTCCTCTGCAATGAATGGAACGAGACTTCTTTATGACTATGTCACACCTCTTTTTTGTGTTTGTGCACAAATGTGTGTGTTGGCACCTGTCAGATGCGGCATCTAAGCATGCGGCGCAGGCCTTCTTCGACTGCCTGCGGGCTGAAGTGGAGGAGTTTGGGATAGTTGTCAGCACCATCAGTCATACCTTCATCAATGCCTCCGACCCGCCGCCTGTGGAGGAACCCACCCCCAAACCAAACGCTGTGACTGCATGTGAGTAAGAGAAGTGGTATGGAAGTGACTGACAGAGGAATGATATCTATAAAACCACCACAAAGGTGTTTCAGTTTCTGGGCAATAGACAGCAGGGTGAATGTGATGTGTTGTTTGCTTTTTTGGAACAGAGAAAATAGTTCCTTGTAACATGTTTTTGTAGCACAAAGACTAATCTGTCCTTCTACAGTTATTGCCAAGCAGATGACCCATGGAGTGCGCCCGTCAGTCCTGGCCAATGAGATTATGCAGACGGTGAACAGGAAGAGGAAGGAGGTTGTGCTGGCCCACCCCATCCCCTGGGTGGCCCTTTACCTCCGCTCCCTCCTTCCCTCCTTCCTCTTTGCCGTGCTGAGCGCCGGAGTGAAGGACTCGGTGCTGGCTGAGCAGATGCAGTAGGAGAAGGACTGAAATACAGGACGAAATCATACGGAGATGTGAAAGAAAGCGCGGCTTGTTTGGAAACGAGAGACGTGTAAAAGAAAGTGCTCGACACAAGGCTGGATCACTGCTGCTCCAGGGCCCCACACATTTAGGGGGGCCAAAGGCTTTATGACACTAAATCCTGTCTTTATTTGTAAGATTAGATTAAATAATTACAAAACAAACAGAAAATCAAATCAATGTAATAAATATTCTTTTTGCATCTTGCCATGTGTGCACACAGGTTTTTACTTCTCTTGTCAGATTTACTGATTTATGTGTTCAGATGTGCACTGTTAATATTTGCACAGATGAAGCAGAGATATACTTCAGCTCAAACTCAGCTATTTGCAGGGCTATTTAGTGGTGGAATGTAACTAAGTTCATTTACGCAAGTGCTGTTCTTTAGTTAAATTTTGAGGTACTTGTACTTTGCTACAGTATCTCCATTTTATGCCACTTTAAGCAAAGAAAGGCCACGAGGATTTGGCGCTTATAATCAACTGAGTAACTTTATGTTGGAATTAAATAATTTATTTTGCACTCATCTAAACTGAATTGATGTTGTTTGAATATAAAATATAGTAATAGTAATTGACATGTCTCCTTTGGTCATTTTCACATCTTAAAATGAAATTATTCATTACAGAAGTAAAAACAAATCACATAAAAATGTCATGAACATTCAGGCTGATAAACAATCAAACCTGAAAAGAATTTGTCATCTTTTTGTAATTTTAAGTCAAATTTTGTTAATCATATGATGCAAGACAGTTCAGGTGAGTGACAGGAAAACACTTTCATTTTTTTTATATAAGATTACACTTAATAGAGGGGAATTCAAATCTCGTAAAATCAGTAATTTATCAATAATTTATTGGCATTTACAACATAATATAATATTCTAATTATTATGGCCTTTCTTTGCTTCCATACTACTTTATACTATACTCCTCAAACTTTTACTGTACTAAATTTGTCTGACAGATATCATTTGATTTTAAACACGAGCATCAGCCTATAAAATAATACATTGTTGCAAATAAAACTGCCCAACAATATGTAGAAAGAGTAAACTAGCTCCACCTCAACCAGCTGCAACATTAAAATGCACTTTACCTGTTAGTACAGTAGTAATAATAAATTATGTACATTTGGCTAATAATACTAAAATAGTTTGGATGCAGAAGTGTTTCGTTTTCATCGTTCTTTAGTAAAGAATCTTAATAATTCTTTAGAACAAAATAAATCCATACCACTTATTTTCCATATCATTAGACTTTGACTGAATGCATTGATCCAGTATTCTGGTTTTGGTGGACACTAGAGTGAAGCCGTAGAATGATTGCAGTTGTGAATGTCTTTCTCTGTGTCCCCTCTAGGTGGCAGCAATATATAGTTATTAATAATGATACTGGATGACTTGTGATGCTGGTGAGATCGGCCTTTGCAGGCCCCCTTCCACAGTCAGTTGTTTATGTGGGGATAAGTGTCCCAGTATTTGCTCTTTTGAAATGTTAATGAACTCCCCTAATTTGTCCAAGTACAAAATAACTGATAAATAAGCATCAAATTATAAACTTTGACCTATTTGTTTTAGATTTGTTTTGCAAATTGGTGGCCCTTTTACTCTAATGTTGCAATACTTGCTTGGCATTGCAATAGAAAAAAATATATAATAAATTATTTCTCAACAACAGGGGTCTCAAACTCAAATTGGCTTGGGGCCACTTCAACGTTCAAGAGCAAGAAAACATATTCTGAAAATATTTTGATTAATAACGTCATACTTAAAGGACCAGTGTGTAGGATTTAGTGGCATCTAGCAGTGTAGATGCAGAATATAACTCACTTGCTTTACCCTCCCTTTCCAAACATGAGGGAGAAATTAATGTTATATCCCAATACTCCATCCATTAGATCCTCCTAAATGTTACACACTAGTTAGGGATGCACCAATACCGTGATCATACTTGTGACCATAAATCTACTCTGATACCGCACTGATACCACTTCACAGCAATGTGACATTACGGAACCTCTCGTTAGTTGAGAAAGTAGGTGGAGGAGAAGAAATGTCAGCAGTTTGAAAATATTTTAAGCAACTTTTACGACAACATTAGCAACATTTAATTTGTTACAGTCTGAAAACAAGGAACTTCTGTTGAAAATAAAACACGTTTGTAAAGCTGCAGTAGGTAATTTTTATTAAAATATCTTTTTATCATATTTTCTGAAACTTTCACTATATCCTGACAGTAGTACACAAGACAGATAATGTGTG